AAAAAAAAAAAAAAAAAAAGACAGGGTCTTCCTCTGTTGCCCAGGCTGGAATGCGGTGGTGTGATCTTGGCTCACTGTAGCCTCAACCTTCTGGGATCAAGCGATTCTCCTGTCTGAGCTTCCCAAACAGCTAGTACTACAGGTGCACACCACCACATTTGGCTAATTTTTTTTTAATGTGTTTTTTTTTGAGATGGGGTCTCGCTATGTTGCCCAAGCTGGTCTCCAACTTCTAGGCTCAAGTGATCCTCCTGCCTCCACCTTCCAAAGTGCTGGGATTAGAGGTGTGAGCCATGACACCCAGCCAAGATTATCCCTCTTTTTAAAAATACCTTTTCAAATTTCACCAATTCAAGATATGGGAGTTTTTAAAGGCAAAACACTTTATTTCTTAAATTACTCAAGATATGTCCTCAAAACACAGAACAATCAAAAGTCAACCGGACTGTTTTCTAAAGCAGAAAAATACCTTTTCATGCAATAGAAAAACTGAACTAGTAAAAGGTATTAATCCAATCTGTTCAGAATTTACAATTCTCAAATGGCCACTTTGAGAAAAAATACCTTTGGGTGCTATTTTTCAGGATCTCATTTGTAAGGCAAACTCAATTTTAAAACATTTTCTCTCCAAACCAAGGTAAAGAATTAAGAATCTCCCAAATTAATTTCTATACATGAAAGAAATGTGCTTATGACATTTTATGTAGCATAGGCTTATCATATGTTACACATTTTTATTACCTTACTTTACTTGTTAACAAAGATATAAACTATGATATGAGGATATAATATAAACGTTTATATCTTTGTACACTATGTTTATATCTTTACTTTCAAACAAATCTGTCTTCATTAAAAATTCTAGCATTCAGAGTTTTACTAAGCCAGACTGGCCTCTCTTTTAGCAATTTTCAAGCTATTATTTTACTGAACTAGTTTTCTTTGGGGAGATAATTCAAAAGCAGATAACTCTGCAGTTTTTGATTATGTTTAATTAATACTAATCTCACTGGGAGTCTCTGACATGCTAAAAATGCTGGCTTGATTTATGAAAAGTGTAAACTCTAAATGTATGCCAATGACTTCAAATTTTTTTCTCTTGCTGAAACATTTTTGTTGGAAACTGTGATATAGCAAATTAGATTTGATAATCCTTAACAATTTAAAATTTGAGTTTCTGTGTACCAAGTTTTATGTCTTTCAATGTAGTATAAGAAGTGTTACTTTTTAATTCATTTAAAATATAAATTTCAAAGTATAAACAAAAAAAAAGAGTGGGGTTTTTTAGTCTTTGGTTTTTTGTTTGTTTGTTTAAGGGGCTGGCCATCTATTGTGAAACATCCATAAAGGATAAAATAGGAAATAGTTAATGTGCCTTTTAAAAAATATTCAGAAAAACAAAAGCATATATTCTTAATCTTTTAAGGAACATTTTCTCACGTAATTACAGTTAGCTTATAGTGAAATTCATTTATTTCCACAAACGAAACTTTCCTATAAAACAGAGCTTGAATATCACTTAGGGAAACATATTTAATGACTTGTGTGGAGGAGAAAAAATTATGTGTGGAAAACTAACTGAAACCATACAAGCTGTAATACACAGAAATGCCACAGTATATCCTATTAGCATGTCACTTTATGATTCGGAAATCTGGCTGAACAGAGCCATATCAACTTTACTATCTGCTCCTTCCTCTGCATGTAAAGTGAGAACAAACAGTGCATTACACTGAAATTCCAATTAGGAACAAAGACAGCACCACTATATTTAAAAGGGCAGAAAAACCTATCTTTTAGAACACTTCATCGCCTCGATTTCCCCGCCTCCAAAGTTTTAAGTGTTACACTTTCAACACGTTGAAAGCACTCAAATTCTCCATCTTTCAAGGTTCAATATCAAAATCACATTCACTAGTTTAAAAAGGAATATGCTACCAAATCTCACGACATTGACACTTTAACAAAGAGAATTCACATTAAAAGATAACTGCTTAGAATGAGGGCTTGTGTTTGGGAAAGCGCTATTATCTTGGTAGTCCACAGAAACTGACTGTAGTAATAAGATGAGTGGTGATGAGGGCAAGGAGCATCAAGTGGGAAATGCTATCTAAAATCCCATAGGGCAATTCATAGCTAGGAGGAAGAGCATCCTTTCCTAGGACGCAGCTCCATTATTTCATGGAAGCAGTTCAAAGCATGCATAAACGCAAAACCATTTTAAAACACCTAGTAAATGTGGCCTCTATCTTTTTTACATTATCAAAAACCCCAAGGGTTTTTGAGAATGTATCTTCTGTCACTGCTGTCTCCCCACCCCACCCCTTCTTCAACATAGTTGTGTTTAAAAACAGACACCTACAGCCCAGCCTAGAAGCATTTCAAAATGTCTGTGCTGCCGAGTCTGGCTGTGGTTCCTAATAAATTCACCCCATTAAGTGTGATGTTTTACGTTAGGCAATATAATCACGCATTTCCTACTTCCATGGATGCACATTTCCTGAAAGCATTGCACCTGAGGATGCTCCCCTGTCCCCAGACGCTCAGGCACTAAACTCTAAGGAGTCACGACCTGCTCTCACAGCAGAGCCACACGGTCACCCCAGTGAGAAAAATTATCTGGCCCCAGGCGCCACTCTGTTCGGCCCAATGCATCTCCAGAAGGGGCAGAGGAGAGCGAGGGTGAGAAGAGGCCAAGAATAGCGACTGACAACAAGGCTGACACTTCCCCTTTTCCTTTCCAACCCGCTTCCAGAAATCGGCACTTGGGAGACGCAGGGGCTGTCCCGGGTCCCGCTAGCTACCGACCTCAGAGCTGGCCCTACGAACCCGCCCACCGAAGGACATGGCGCGGCCACCTGGCCAGTCCTCCGAGGCGCTCGCGGCATTCTTTCCCGCGGCCCGCGCCCCGGAGTGCGGCTCCCGCTCCCGGCCGCCGCACGCAGTGTAAACATTCGGCGCCCGCTGCCTCCCTGCCCGATGGTGGGGGTGACGCGCAGCGCTGGTGCGGACCCACATTTTTGCGCCTCTTGTCACGCACTGGAGGAAAGGCGAGGAGGGCGGAGGGGAGGGAAGACGCGGCAGCGATCCACGGAGACGGCCAGCGGCGTGCGCGCGAGTGCGCGGCGGGGAGGGCGGCCCCGGCGCCCCGCCGGCTCCGGCTCCCGCTCCCACCCCGCGCCCGCTTACCTGCCGGGGTCGCTCCGAAGACTCGCACCACCGGCACCCTCTTGACAGGGGCCTGGGTGAGGGGGGATTGGCAGGTATCCAGCCCCTGCAGCGGGCTGGCCATGTAGTAGTCTGCAGTCACTATCCTCACTGAAAACATGTTCGCCGCCGCCGCCGCCACTGCCTCCCTTCACTGGCGACCCGGCAGCGGCAGCAGCAGTGGCAGCAGCAGTGGCAGCAGCAGCGGCGGCGGCTCCCTCCGCAGCGGGCGCCCCCTCCCCTTCTCGGCTCGGCCCCCTCCCCTCACACACACACACCGCGAGGAGCGGTGGCGGGCGGGGCGGTGTAGGCGCTGCTGCCGCTGCCTCCTCAGGAGCACCCGGCGAGGGGCCGCAGGAGAGAAGCCCTTGCGATTTCGTCGGTGCTGGTGCTGCCGCCACTGCCGCCGCCGCCGGGAATCACACAGGCTCCTCGGTCCCAGGCTGCAGCTCTTGTTGCCATGATGATGATGTCACGGACGCAACCACTGGGGGAGGGAAGAGGGGGGTGTGTGTGGCGAAGGGAGGGCTGCGAATAGTGCGGGGGAGGGGGCTCGGCGGGAAAGGGAGCTAGCTGGCAGGCGCCGGGGCGGGACATGGAGGGCGGGGGCCGAGAAGGTGCTTTCTCCCCCGCCCCAGGGCACACGTCAAGGGAGGCGGCGGGCGGCCGGCAGGGCCCGTGTTGGATCGATGACTCGGCCGGCGGGCACGGTCACCTGGGTGAGGGGCAGCGGAGGGGACGGCGGAGCACCGATCTCACAGATGGGCTCCAGCGGGCTTGCGGGAGGGGGGCGCCAGTGTTCGGAAACGTTTTGGCGGCTACGGCGTATTGGCCGGAGCTGCGGTGCTCGCACTCGCCTCGCCGACAGCCATTTCACATCAAACAGAGAAGGCTGGGGCAGCCGCGGAGACGGTTTTTCACTAGGTAAGAAAGCCCGCCCGCGGGAGGAGGGGGCGAAGCGCAGATCTCGTGCCGCCGCGGCCTCGCGGGAGGGGCGGGCGGGCGGCGAAGCGGGCGGGGCCGGGCGCAGACGCAGCCGGCCCTTCTCAGGTAACGCCGTGGCTTCGCGCGTGTCCCGGGGGCGGTGCGAAGGGCGGGGGCGCACGGGCGGGGGCCTCGGCTTATAAAAGGGCCGCCCTGGTGCTCCCCCTTCCCGAAAGTGTTGTGCGAGCCGTCGTGCCCCTTCCTTTGCGCTGCTGCAGTGTCTGCCCCTGGCCATTTAATGAGATTTATTCACACACGGCTCTTCTTGGCTTTGCCAGGGGTTGGCAGATCTAGTGCACAGGGATTTCCCATCACTGTGTTTTTCTCCCGCCCCCTTCCTTCCTCTCGCCCTAATATATCCTTCATTGGTTTCCTTTGCCCGGCAGGCTGCGTCCCGGGCACACGCAAGTACATGTAAGGACTTGTCAGCTCCCGATGACCTCCCTCCTTCCTCGTCCGCTCCTCCCCCAGCGGAATGTAGGATTAACAGCCTTTCAGAAAAAAATTTTGGCCAAAGAAAAAGGCCCGTGAAAGTCACCGCGTTAGACGTGGCCTCTCGTGTTATTCCCTAAGACGTTATGCAAGGTTTTACTACCTGAAGGCATGAAAGCACCACAGTGGGGAAGGGCCGTTTTGAATGAACAACTTTATTCAGAAATCGAAAGGGGTGAAGCGCTGCGGCTAGGGAATTTTTATTTAAGCGAATAGTAACATGCAGCTGGCTGGGCTATTAAATTGGAACCAAGGGGTTCCTGTCTGACTTGGCCACTGATATTGGGCGTGACCTTGGACAAATAATTTTGTTTCTTTGGGCTCAGTTTCTATATATGTAAAACGGGAAGATTTCTTGTAAAAACTAACCCTGAAAGGTTTTTTCTCAACAAAAAGATGTGAGCTGTTGGAGGCAGAAAGCCTGGGTTCAAGTTCGAAATTTGCCCCTGAATTAGGACCCTCGACACATTTCTAACCCATCCAAAGTAGAGATCGTTCTTTTACACTCATGTGTTATACAGGTGCGTTTTAATGGTTACCAGGTTGCCATGTATTTGAAGTGGTGTGAGAGCTACTCATTTGGAACCGTTGTGGATTTTCAAATAGGAAAATCAAAAGGCCCAAAGAGACGGGTCACTGGTAAGAAACTGTCTGTAAATTCCCTGACATATAAATGCTAATAAGAACTTACGCTTCGAGGGACTTGAGACTGATAACTACAGTGAATTAGCCTGCAGGTTTTAATCTCAGAGAATGATTATAAATATAGGTGGCAAGATTCTGTTCATATGCAGGAAATTAGCTAATAACATTTTTAAGGGGCAAAATCTCTTAAGTTGATTTGAAATTTTAGAAGGCTATAGAAGTCATTTTAAAATACAACTACCATGCTAAAATGTATTTTCTGTAAAATAAATATTTTGTACACGCCGAATGTCAGATGCACAATACCAGTGATTCTCAGTGTTCCATGACACCTAGAATTCTTTAAATGTTAACATTTTAGCTCTTACTGGATTACATTTTTGGGGATGGGGCCTGGAAATCTGTATTGTTGGCAACACTACCTGCCACCCCCATGATTCTTAAGCAAAATAAAATTGAGAGTCATTGTACTATATTATAATCAAGTGTATCCATAACTTTTAAATTATAGTATTCCTAACTAGAAAGAGGTAAAAGCATCAAATTAACAGATTTGCTGTTTCTCGAAGAGGATTTCTTTCCCCTTACCTCTTGAATCAACATTATTTAAGAAAAGGCAATTGCAACCCCAAGTCAAATCCTTCGAGAACTCCAAGAATGTTCAGCCTTGAAGAAAAATATTTGGAGCATGAAATTAGGAATGTTGTGTTTATTACATGTAATTTAGTTTTAAGTTGATGTTCAAATTGAAAATCTGATAATGGCCCCCTAATTAACCACTATCAAATGTTTTATGAATATATTCTTCTTGAAGTAAGAAAGAGTTCTGGAATTTTGACTCAGAATGTGAATTTCAAACCATCATTTAGCTAAGTGATCACTTATTTTTTCGAATTTATTTCCTTCTCTATGAAACAGATAGTAATTCCTGTTTTAACGTCTCAGGGATAGTATAATGCTCAAATCAGATAATATATGTGAAAATATAGTAAAATATTCATATTCAGAAATCGGACATTGAAAAATAGTAAAATCACTTGGAATTCCCTAGTATACATACAGTATGAAAAATGCAAAAATTGAACTCTATACTTAATATCCTTAATGCATTTTTTTTAGTGGCTGTTTCTTGCCAGGAGATTTGAGCTATGGTGAGAAACAAAACAGACATGGTCCCTTCCCTTATGAGGTTTATAGTCTAACAGCCTAAAAATGTGTTTTAATTGTGTCAATTAACATTTAATCATCTCCTCTAGTTCACAGATGTATACTTACCATGTCTGCCTTTAGTAAAAGCCTACCAAGCCTCCTTTACCAATACTGTTCAACATCTGTTAACATCTGTCTGTTAGTAGTTTATAATCTAGAACAGACAGTAGTACCTACTTTTGTGGCAGATACTATAAGATGGCTTATTCAGTATTCATCCAGCCCCCTTCTTACTTGCTTTTCTGTCCTTTAAAAACTGGAAAAAAAAAAAAAAACTACAATTCTCAGACTCCCTTGCCACTAGATTGCTGGCATGAGATCAGTGGTGTGATTAGTACATGTTTAACAATGGCTGGAGAAGGGGGAAGGCCTTAATTTGTAGCATTGGCAAATTTGGGTTTGCTTTCTTTTTTAGGGACGGGGTCTCACAGTGTTGCCCAGGCTGGTCCTGAACTGCTAGGTTTCTCCCACCTCAACCTCCCAAGTAGTTGGGACTATGTGGTACAAATATGCCCAACCTACCAGAGTGACTTCGGTGAATGTGGAGTTAGTTGGAAAGTATGCTGACAATCAGAAGCTGGCTTTAGCATATGATCTAGTTTCCAACAATCAGATGTACCCATTCAGGACATTTATGTGACAGCAAGCAACGTGATGCTTCAGCTGCACTCTGGGTTACTGTATTTTCTGACAAATTCCATGAAGGACGGATCTGGTTCCTCTGGGCAGGTAGAGAGGATGGGTTTCCACTAGGATATCCTTGTGATGTGGGATGGGTGTTCTTTGTGGCGTGGTCTTTCTTGGACGTTGTTTCTAGCTATGTTTATCCAAGTCTGATTTTCTGGCCCTCTGAGAGATCTCTGAGCTAAATAGTATCTTTTAATCTCTTTCTGCTTAAACTAGCCCAGTCACAGCCAGCTACATAATCTGTGGGGCTCAGAGCGAAATGAAAATGTAAGTCCTCTTGTTCCAACACAGGGGAAAATGTGTTGTTATCTGTACTAAAATATAAAGTATTTTTTTCTGTCATTGCTCCCTCCACTTGTCAAAGTGTTTTTAAATTTGCTTTTTAATTTCACCCAACAAAAAGTTAAATTTTTTAATTCTTAGGATGAATTTTACCATTCATCTTTATATTATGTAATGTGATTTTAAAATGTAAATATAAGAGCATTTCAATTGTATGTGGAATCACCAAAATTATACATTCATAGCTTGTAAATGCATATGTAGTTTGTGCTATCAGCACTGTAAACTCTGCACAAAACTAACTCAACTATTTTTATTTTCCATCTTGATATGCACACATTCTACCAACATTCTCTGTTTCTGCTTACTGATGAGTAAGGAAGAAAGAAAGGAAAGGGAGCTCTGAGTTGCCCTACTTTTCTGTTTCATTCTTTGTCATCATTTTTCGTATAAATGATTGGCTAATCGCAGGAAGTAACAGATGAGTAAGGAAGGATGTGATGTAGTCACATGTGTTCCTTAAGATGCTGTTGCTGCCCTTCTGTGCCTAAAGCAAGTTCTGATTTGAATGCAAAGTATAGCCTCTTAGAACTGTCTATGCCTCCACTAACTCAGTCATAGATGTAACATGCTTGTCTTGTATTAACTTTGTTATTCTCTTGAGTTCCTGCACCTCATAGGTCCACCAGAATCCTTTGTCATGAGGTGTCATGGAGACCATATGCAAATAGAGTAGCAAGGCAGAAAGGACACACATCATCTCCTCTGCTTGCATGTTATGCTCTGCTATGCCACTGGACTTACAAAACAGATAGCCAAACATAAAAGTATTACAATTTTAAAGACAGTGACTGTACAGCATTAAACCAAGCACTGGGCCCTGTGTGACTATACATGTTGCATGTTGATGAAGTTGATGGCTCTGAGCTCTTGGGTTTCTCAAATGGGGCTTCTGGTATTTTGGGTGACACAGTTTTTCATTGTGCAGGACATTTAACATCCCTGGTCCCTGTGCACTACCTGCCACTGTAGCAATAAAAACTTCCCCATATCAAAATGTCCCCGAAGAGGAGTTGCCGCTCTCCACTGAACTCCTAGAGTAGACTCCACTATATACAGCTATGAACCATGAGCACTACAGGGTTGAATTTAAAAGGATTTCAAACTCTCATACCCTAGACAGCAGAATTATGATGACTTTTTCCGTATTGTCAGAAAAATAATACCACCTACATTGATGATGAAACAAATATTTGAGATAACTTAAAGGTGATTAGTGAGTTCTGTGTGTAACATACATATAAATGGTAGTTGACTACAGATAAAAGGCAATTTCTGAGAGTTTAAATAAAAGAAAAAAGAACAAAGCACCACAAAAAAGCAAAGAGAACCATCTTACCTTCATTATCTTCATCAGATATCCCCAGGAAAAACTAAGTAAGTTGTCATAATAAGCTATGCTACTTTTATTATATTGGAGTTGGAATTTAGTTCCATTGTGTCCCTTTTTTTTTTTTTTAAGGCATAGTTCTTGATTTAAGAATATTAACCTTATCAGGGCCAGGCACAGTGGCTCAATCCTGTAATCACAGCATTTTGGGAGGTCAAGGCAGGCAGATTCCTTAAGCCCAGGAGTTTGAGACCAGCTGGGCAACATGGCAAAATTCCATCTCTATAAGAAATAGAAAAATTAGCCAGATGTGATGGTGCACACTTGTAATCCGAGCTACTTGGGGGCTGAGGTGGGAGGACAGTTTGAGCCTGGGGAGGTCAAGGCTGCAGTGAGCCTTGAGCCTTATGAGCAAAGGATTCTGGTGGACCTATGAAGTACAGGAACTCAAAAGAGTAACAAAGTTCATATTAGACAAACATGTTACATCTATGACTGAGCTAGTGGATTCATAGTGTTGCCACTATACTGCAGCCTGGTCAGCAGAGTGAGACCCTGTCTCAAAAAAAAAAAAAAAAGTTCTAGCTCTATAGACCTAACTCTGTCTTTGCTAACTGTGAACTTCAGTTTCTGTGAGTCTTGGTTTTCTCATCAATAAAACGGGGGAAACTTACCTTAGGTTCTAAATCATTTCAACAAAAGTGATTTTATTTAAAAAGTAAGTTTACCAATAATACATTTATTGGCCAGGCAGGATGGCTCACACCTCTAATTCCAGCACTTTGGGAGGCAGAGGCAGGAGGATTGCCTGAGTCCAGGAGTTTGAAAACAGCCTGGGCAACATGGTAAAACTGTCTCTACAAAAATTAGTGGTCAGGCGCAGTGGCTCACTCCTGTAATCCCAACACTTTGGGAGGCCGAGGTGGGTGGATCACCTGAGGCCAGGAGTTTGAGACCAGTCTGACCAACATGGAGAAACCTTGTCTCTACTAAAAATACAAAATTAGCTGGGTGTGGTGGCCCATGCTTGTAATCTCAGCTACTCTGGTGGCTGAGGCAAGAGAATCACTTGAAGCCGGGAGGCCGAAGTTGCGGTGAGCCGAGGTCACACCACTGCACTCTAGCCTGGACAACAAGAACAAAACTTCGTCTCAAAAACAAAACAAAACAAAAATTAGCCAGGCATGGTGGTGCATGTTTGTAGTCCGAGATTGTAGCTATTTGGGACTGAAAGGCTGCTTGGTTGAAAGGTGGGAAGATCACTTATGCCCAAGAGGTCGAGGTTGCTATACAACTGCACTCCAGTGTGAGGGTAGAGCAAGACCATGTCTCAAAAAAAAAAATTTTTTTTATTAAGTATATTCAGGGTCAGTATTCTCTGAAACAAATATTTGGTAAATATAGCGAACTGATTTGTTGGCAAATTACCTTTTAACAAATTGGACTACTTTCCATTCTTAGGAGGGATATTATAAGGATTAAATGAAGTATTGCCAAAAGTACTTAGCAAAATTCTGAATACACCTTAGCTGTAATCCCCCAACATTCATACTTCAAATCTTGCCTATTCTTTCTCCTGAACATTCCCCATTTCTGTCCACATAATCATTATCCTTTTGCAGTCTTTCATTAGCTTTAGGCATACTATTGCAATAGTCGATTGATTGCTTGGCTTATTCCCCACTAAACTTTTTTTCTACTGTACTGCAAGGGTGAGCTGTCTACCATATAAATTTTAAGTTATCATCTATGTCAAATTATCATCTATTGCCATAAAAACAATGTTTATGGCATACCAACTTCATGATTTGGCCTAGGTAGATATTCGACTTCATACCTTTTCACATTCTTTTCCATTTATCTTCTAGCACTACTGAGGTATTACAGCCTCATAAACATGGCTTTCTTTTTGAAAAATTATCAAATCTCTGTGCATTTGCCTTTCTAACTGGCATAGTACCTTCTCCCTTCTTGTCTCTTGGCAAAATTATTATTTGTCTTTCAAGTTTTAGCTCAAATGCCATTTCCTTGTAAAGGTTTCCCTGATTTCCTCAAACAAATTTAGGCGTTATTTCTAGGCTTCCACTTCTGTTTGTACATGCTTCTATTATAATGCTTGTATTATTGTAGTTGTTAGTCTGTCATTCTAATAGACTGTTATCTTCTTGAAGCAAACCATGTCTTTTCATCTTTTATATACTAGATCCAAGTATAATGCCTAGAATAAAGTTACCAACATTTGTTGAATTAAATTTAAAAATCTATTTGCAGCTCTCTCTACTGCCTGCCCAACACCCCTCCATTACTATCAGTAAGCTAAGGTCCAAAACAATAAAGCTGTTTTATGGAACCAATGTCTCCTAACTCCAGATTTATTACTTTTACTCCTATACTTAGAGAATCTTCTAAGCAGCATCTATATAAGTAGTCATTTCTATTGTAAGAAACACTGTCTTGTCACTGTTTTTTCATTCATCTTTAAGGAATAGGTAGAAGGGCATAGTGATTTGACGAGTGACAGTATTTTCTTTCTTATTCAATAATTTAGATAGTTTGTTTTCTAGTAAATTTGGTAGAGTTCAAGCTAAATTATTTTTTAATCTTTAGAAATTATTTTAATAGAGATGAGGTTTCTCACTATATTGCCTATGTCTCAGATTTCTGGGCTCAAGTGATCCTCCTGCCTCTGCCTCCCAAAGTGCTGAGATAATAGGTGTGAGCCACTATGCCCTGCTAAATTATTCTTTTTGAGACAGGGTCTCACTCAGTCTCCCAGGGTGGGGTGCAGTGACCCAATCTCAGCTCATTGCAGTCTTGACTTCCTGGGCTAAAGCAATCCTTCCACCTCAGCCTCCTGAGTAGCTGGGACTTCAGACATGCATCTCTACACCCAGCTAATTTTCATATTTTTTTGAGAGACTGGGTTTCACTATGTTCCCCAAACTGGTCTTGTACTCCTGAGCTCAAGCCATCCACCTGCCTTGGCCTCCCAAAGTACTGGGATTAAAGGTGTGAGCCATAATGGCTCCTGGCCTCAAGCTAAATTATTCTTTGTGTCATCCCTTTTCTTTCCTTCACTCTTAGATAACTTAATTTTCTTAATTACTGTAGGGCCAAATGTCTGAATCATTTAGTCCACTGGTCCTCAACCAGGGATAATTTTGCCCCCCAGGGCAAAATTATTTGGCAATAGATATTTGGCAGGATATCTGGTGGCATTTTTTATTATCACATCTTACAATGCAGAGGGCAGCCCCTGCAACACAAAGAATTATCTGGTCCAAAGTGTCAATAGTGCAGGTATTGAAAAACCCTGGCATAGTTTAAAGTATATTTTTACCCAGCCCTTCACCCAGTCTCTTGCCTTTATGAAATCATGATGGAAAAGAGACTCATTCCCTTTCAGAGGGATTTGGAAGCCCTAAGTAAATATGGCAAACTTTGGAGGCAATTGCTGTCAACCATACAAAGTCCCAAAAGGCTTTATGCAGGTTTCCCCAATTTCTCCATAACACCTGCCTGGGTACAAGGTAGGCACATAAATATTTATTGCCTATATGATTAACAATAAAATATTTCTTGGCCAAAAGGAATATTTTATTTCTTTTATTTTTCTCTCTTTAAACCAAAGGAAAGTCAGATTTACCATGTGGTGAGAGGTGAATTTCCTGAACAGAGATCTTTATTCTTTTTACCCAATTAATTTACTTAGTTACTCAGAGAAGCAAAACTTTCTGAAACAACTCTCCGACTTCTGTAAATTAGCAATAATAGTCTTCAGGGAGGGACCAATGAGCCTATAAATTAAAGATGATATTTGAGGAACAAAAAATAAAAGAAACTCTTAGAATAGTGCAATATTAAAACTGATACCTGAGTTCTCCAGGACCCTCATTTAAATTATATAACTAGAATTGATATTGGAGCATTTCCAATGGATAATATTATAGATAGATAGGAGGAGACCAAACACACAGAGTAAGGATAGATAAAATTCCCAATTTAAATAATTAAGATTCAAAGTCTCAGAAGCAAGGTATCTATTTGGACCCACGTATCTCAGGGTAGTTTCCCCTGGCCCCAAAGTTCCCACAGCATTTTTATATTCACAGTGTAAATCACATTCCAGAAAAACTTCCACTAAAAAGCTCTTTACTAAGACTAGGCAGGGTGGCTCATGCCTGTAATCCCAGCACTGTGGAAGACCAAGGTGAAAGAATTGCTTGAGCCCAGAAGTTTGAGACCAGCTTGGGCAACATAGTGAAACCTTGTCTCCCAAAACAGTAAAAATTAGCCAGGTGTGGTGATGTATGCCTGTAGTCCCACCTATGCAGGAGGCTGAGGCAGGAGGATTGCTGGAGCCTAAGAGGTTGAGGCTGCAGTGAGCCGTGATCACCACTGCGCTCTAGCCTGGGTCACAGAGCAAGACCCTGTCTGAAAAAAGCAAACACACACACACACACACAAACTTCGTTATTGACAATGGATTCTCCTAGATTTCGCTTTATTTTACATCCTCATTCCAGAGGCTAGAAAAGGCTATTTATTCTCAGGTGTGTAAATATACGTAAGTCCTTATATTTCTTCATTTTCTCAAAAAAAAAATGTATTTTTCCAATTTTAAAAATTTTAAATACATAGTATGGAAAGTATGAAAGACAATAGAGAAAAATATAGAACATTCAATCTCACCCAGTGGAAGTCATGATTGACATTCTAGTCCATTCTGTTTCTAGAAAATTTTTCTGTAAATATATAGAGGAAATAATGTCCTAGTTTTTTTCACTTTGCATTATAACAAGCATTTTCCATGTAAATTAAAACTCTTCATATACATTGTTTTAATGGCTGCAAAATATGCTGTGCTGTGGATATATGATAATTTACCTAACCATTTTCTCACTGCTGGCAAACAACAGAATGGTTCAGATTTTACATTCCCATATATATCAAACTGAGCATTTTTAGGCTGAAAATTTTGCTCCATTTTGGATCCTATCCTGAATTTTTCAAGGAACTTACTTTATAGTTCACCTTTTTATATCACCAATTCTTGATATATGCCATGTTCCTTATCCACAGAAAAGAGAATTGCATGTGATACTCATTCTGCCTTTGCTCTTCCTTTCCCTGTCTCTTTTGCCCAGTTAACTCACCCTTTTCTCCCCTAAAGTTTTCCTGTGTTAGTACTTACACAAAATATAAAGTTGGAATAGGAAAAAGATTTTTAAATAGAGGTTTGTTTGTTTAAGTTCTGGGATACATGTGCAGAATGTGCAGGTTTGTTACTTAAGTTAGGTTTACATGTGCCGTGGTGGTTTGCTGCATCTGTCAACCCATCATCTAGGTTTTAAGCCCCACATGCATTAGGTGTTTGTCCTAAAGCTCTACCTCCTTTCCCTCCCTGTGTCTATGTGTTCTCATTGTTAATAGAGGTTTTTGTAGGTTTTTTTTAATAGAAATTTCATAGATAATAATTACATCAGCTTAACTGTTTTCACTCAGTCACCTTTTTGTTTTTTATTTTATTTTATTTTTGAGATAGAATCTCACTCTGTCACCCAGGCTGGTGTGCAGTGGTGTGATCTTGGCTCACTGCAACCTCTGCTTCCTGAGTTCAAGTGATTCTCCTGCCTGAGCTTCCCAAATAGCTGGGATTACAGGTGCCCACCACCACACCCAGCTAATTTTTGTATTTTTAGTAGAAATGGGGTTTCGCCATGTTGGCCAGGGTGGTGTCAAACTCCTGACCTCAGGTGATCCACCTGCCTTGGCCTTGCAAAGTGCTGGGATTACAGGTGTGAGCCACCACACCCGACCTAGTTACCTATGTTAAACATGCATTTTATTGCTCAATTCTAAGCTTTTTGTATTTTAACTTTTTATTAACTTACTGATATTTATAAAATCCTATGTTAAATGATGTGGTTGATTTTTTTAAGAGTAAGACATGGCCCTGGACTCCAATATTACATAATTGACCAGTAAGTTGTAAGTTTCTTGACATTAGGAATCATATTCTACATTTCCTTTTTTTTTTTTTTTTAAGATAGGGTCTTGCTCTGTTGCTCTGGCTGGAGTGCAGTGGCACGATCACACTTCACTGCAACCTGACCTCTGGGCCTAAGCAACCCTCCCACCTCAGCCTCCCAAGTCACTGGGGCCACAGGCATGTGCCACTGCTCCTGGCTAATCTTTTTATTTTTGTAGGGTTTCCCAATATTTCCCAGGCTGGTCTTAAACTCCCAGGCTCAAGGGATCCTCCCAGCTGGGCCTCCCAAAGTGCTGGGATGACAGGCAGGAACCACCATGCCCTGCCTGCCCATTTCCCTTTTCCTTTTGCACAGTACCAGATATATGGTTGGTACTGCAGAAATAATTTTCCCCGGCCCTCTACATTGATCATTTGATTACCAAATAGTGTCTGTCTGGCCACTTATTTTTGACTTGGACAAAATATTCCACTTTCTGAGGTAGACAGTGATATTCTGAAGCCATCAGTAAGAGTAATTTTCAGCTTGGTTGAAAGTGGACATTCTTTGTGTAAAGGTCAGCCTGTCAGGAAATAGCATGCTACTCTGTTCTTTTAAGATAATTTTTAAAAACCTTTGTATATGTGTGTTGTTTTTTTTTTCTTTTGTTTCTATGTGTGTTTTTATACTTAACAAAATATGTAGTGAGAAACTATACCTAGTGGTCTCACCAGATGTTCTCAAATCAGAGCTGGGGCAATCTAGTTTTAATTTATTTTTAAAACATTTATTTTCACAAATGTATGAGAGCAAGAGCTGGTATTTTTCTTGCTTGAATTAGCAGGTAATTTCATTCTCCATTCCTCTTTAGCAGGGAAAGTCTAGCCTTAGGATGAAAATGTGAACCAGAGGTTCTTGCCAAGTCTGCACAGTAGTACAAAGATTAGTTTTATGAATGAAGGAAAACATTACTCATTTTTCTTAAGCAGCTTCTTCTGCATTTGTATGAAATGTTTTTAGACTGAAAGCTCATAGGGAAAGGGGAAGGATCCTCATTCTAGAATATCTTTTCCCCTGTTTTTAGCATATTGGTAGTCTTTCAGGACTTAATTTAAGACTTTGACACTTGGCTTACAGTCTTCCTCCTTCACTGAATTCCTGCCCTCATCCTGAGTAAATTCATCACCCTAGTAGGCAGCCCATCTAATACTGTTGGGAAGAGAAGGTTATACTGTGTTATGTATTAATCTCTACCATCTGAACCTTATACCCTGTATGCCAAAGTATAGTGTTATAATTCTCCTTTGCGTACCCAAAATTAACAATAGGCTGAATCATTTGATTATCATTCCCTCTGTCTGACTCTAACGTACCTTTTGTCCTTTCAGATTTTACTTTACAGTTTTGGGTCTAGTTTATCTGGTAAGGTACATTTCTAATATTTTTTAAAATAAATATTCAGTCAAAAAGAGCATGTCTTAGACATCATGGGATGAAATGATAACTGAAGGAAAATGACTCCTAGGAATAGTTACCCTATTTAAAGAGGCTTTCATAAATCAAAGTAGTCTCTAGTTGTAATTCAGGGCCAGAGGCCTCAGGCCCAAGAGCTTTGAGTTTTTTCATTCTTGACTTTCCCAGCTTCCCCTTTGTTCCCAAAGATTTTTCTAAAAACATACTTCTTTTTTCCCCTGCGGTAGCAGGGAAAGCAGCACTATATGGGTGGGGAATAGTGATGGGGACTATTGGTATGTATAGGTAATTTATTGAATGACAGTAGATAATATTCTGCTAAGAGTTTAAACTCTGCAGCCCAATTTCCCTACTTAACTGATCCATAACTTGGGCAAATTACTTTCTGTGCCTCATTTTTTCGGTCTATAATAAACAGATAATAATACTAGTACCTACCTCATAGTGTCGTTGTAGAGATTGAATTACATGTATTAAATGAGTTAACACCTTAGACTGCTAAGCACTCAATAAGTGTAAGCTATTATTCATAATTTAGAGGCAGCTTCTGCGTTTCCTAAAATGTACTTATTCAGCAAGAAGAAGAATGATGTAATAATGAAAGGTAGGGGTTTTTAAAATTCCATTAATTGGATATAAAAAGTAGGTTCTAAGAATTTCAAAAAACCCAAGAAATTATTTATACCATTGGTGTTTAACCAGTTATATGCATCAGAATCATTTATGAGGCGTTGTAAATATACATTTATCCAGGCCCTTTCTTCTCATATCTACCAAGTCAAAATGTCCACAGGCAATTCCAATGCAGTCTTTCTGTCAAGACCATTGAAATAATCCAAGTCTTTAGATTTTACGATGAAGAAATTGAGACTCAAAGTAAATGAGTTGCCTAAAACCCCATGGGGTAAGTGAGATCCAGGTTACCTGCCTCCTTGGTAAGCGATCTTCCTATTCTTCTGTGTTGCCACCAAATATATTAACTTTTGAGGAAACTAGTATGGGAGCTTATCCTTCTGTCAGTTATATCAAGAATAATAATATAGGCTTTAAAACTTACTTTATTCAGCATTTAATTCAAAATGACAAAATTCTAGCCAGGCATGGTGGCTCACATTTGTAATCTCAGCACTTTGGGAGGCTGAGGTGGGAGAATCCCTTGAAGCCAGGAGTTTGAGAACAGCCTGAACAACATAGTGAGACTCCATCAACATTAAAAAAAAAAAAAAAAAAAACTAGCCAGGGGTGGTGGTGTGCACCTGTGGTCCCAGCTACAAGGGAGGCTGACGTGGAAGGATTGCTTGAGCCCAGGAGATCAAGGCTACAGCAAGCCACGATCACACCACTGCATTCTAACCTGGGCAACCGAGTAAGACCATCTCAAAAAAAATTTTTTTTTAATTTTACCATTTATGCAGAGGACTATTGCACGTTTATGGTAGAACTGAAAGGGAATTTTGCTGTCCTTTTCATGAGGACATTAGTCTTTGCCACAATGCTTACTACTAATGAGTACAAGGAAACGCTGTGTGGGACAGAGAGTTGCTTGATCCAACCTCACAGACTGACAGGCAAACAAATGTTTCATAGGGCCAAGTAGCTATAGGAATTAAACTTTTTAAAGCTCTCAATAACAGAATATATACTTCTTATTATTAGAGTATGTGAAATATTTTAAAGAATTTTTAAACCTTTATAAAATATTCTCAGAATTTCTAGTCTATGAACAGTTGATGTGGAAAAATCAGTGGTTATTAGGTACACTGTTATTGCAGCTTCACTGATAGATTAGAAATCTAAAAAATGTAGCAAAAATAAGTTTTTGTATTTGATATTGGGTGCTGTGATATTTTCTCTCTTAAAATATGTTTTTTCCTTTTCCATAATATAAAGGAATCAAAAAATACATTACAACTTGTATGTGAAGGTGTGCAAATCTGTGAAACAAATTAAGGTGACAGGGCAGAAGCGAGAAAGTAAAGTCCAAATGAGATCCACCTCTCAAAGCAGGTTCTGTGTAATTTCTCTGTAATTGCTATAATAAATTTTTTATTTTCATGTATGTGTTTCTTTGCTAGAGATGATATTGGGTGCCAACCAAACTTATAATTTTTAGGTGATGATTTTACCAACAAACCACTTACCTTGATGAATGCTCTGCACAGGCCTCCCTCTGATTTCAGCAGCCCAGAAATGCCTGGCACAGTCACAGCCTGACTACCTCAAGGGGATCAGCCCCAAAC